CGACATCATCAATGAGCACATCATCATGCGGATGTATGGCATCAAGACGTCATCATTCCCCCGACCCCCCCCCAACCCCACCCCCAAAGTGCGGCAAACGAGTCTAATGGAGCCTAGAGCCAGTACGAGTCCAACAGCCTAAAGGGTAGCAGGCAGCAGCAGTAGTAGACCTAGTACGAGTCGAACAGCTTAGAGTAGAAGATGACGTTATTAGCCCCCCCCCCCCACCCTCCCCCCCAACCCCCGAATAGCCTGAAACACATAGGCGCGTACAGGCGCCGTCACCAACAACAACACCAATAACAGTAATAACAGGAATAACCATAAGCAGAGACCACACTCATAAGGTAAGGTCACTATGATGGTCACAGTATCTATTGACCCAGGCCTCCGCCTCAACTCGCTGCTTCTGAAGCTCCGTCCGGCCACCGGCCTCTATGCGAAGAGGGCCGGGCGGCTCTTGGAAAAAGATGGCCGCGTGGTTGGGGGGTGGTTTGAAGGCTTCGTTGTTCTGGGCGTCAAAAGTTCAGTGATATGTCACAAACACAACCCGAGATTGTTGCTGCTGCTTGTTGGCTTGCTGTGTGCAGCCAGCTTTCAATCTGTCGCTGGGTCGGCGAAGCATCATTGGAACATGAACAAACTAACTTCTCTTGCCTATCCAGGACCGATGCTTAATGAGTCAGGAGGACATGCACCGCTTGCACTCCAATCCTACACTTGCATAATCTGGTAGTAATGATGGTAGCTGATAATGAATGTTGCCAGGGTGTTAAACTGGTATTGCCTCTCCCGTCAGTATTAGACTGGGTCTAGAATCAACGCTTCGCTTCATTATCAAGGAAGTCAGCAGTTTTCGGTTGCAGACTGGAATACTTCCTCGACTTCATCTAGCTGCTGCAAGGTTGGCATGGCTCAGCTGCCTCTGTCAACCGAGACTTCCAAAAAACAGCATGCTCGTTCAACGGATGCCGCCAGACTGTGACACTCAACCTTGGGCTATTCGAATCGCTGCACAATTCCCGCCACGATACCCGTCTTATCCACACAGCTCCAAGCCTGGGATAGGAGCGAAACTCTCTTCGAGATGCTGGCAAGAACCGCCTCGAAAAGGTTGGGTTCATGTGCTAACTCTGCACCAGATGTCCTTGTGACATACTGTAGTAGCTACCCAGTGGCCTGGCAAGCCCTCATGACGGCGTATGCAACCGAGGCCAACCCAGCAATAATCCGCGCCTTTGAAGCAAACTGCCGGCACAGGCGTCGAGGCGGAGTGAAGAGCAGACCTGCGACATGCCCGGCAATTCTTAAGTGGCGTCTCGATGCCCTGCACTTTAGCTTACAGATATCTGAGGGCCGTGGGGAGCTTTCGACTCTCACACTCGCACAAGGCCAGCAAGGCTCCGCATAGTCGTGGGGAGCTAGGGGACTTGAGAATTGTTGCAATGATTTCGACTCTCATGGGAATGTTTCTCAAAGCACGAGCCGTACAGTCACAGATGTTACAGTCCCGCCTAATCCGACTCCTCAAGTTCCGGCAGCGATACGTGACGACTGAGCAGTATAGAGCAATGTCACCACATTACAAATATCCCGCCCTAGAGATCTTGTTTCCTGCTCCCAGCTGGCACCATAGTTAACAGAACAGGCAAACAAACAGCTAGGCTAGACTGCGAGGCAGATAAGGCGGCAGGCAGAGAGGACAGGTGGCGGAGATATATCATGTCAGTATGTACACACATCGAGACATGTATTCGTATTTGTCTGCCTGTGTCCATAGAATAATGTGTTGCGTGGTGCCTGCATGTATGCATGCAGCTGCCATTTGCATGAGCTATCAGAATCTCAAAAGAAAGGGATGGCAATGGTTGATGATGGTGGCGGCGACGATGGCCCCGCTCACGGAGCTGGCTGATGACCATCAGCAGCTTCAGCACTTTCGTTGCAAAAGCGTGTGCTGATGTTGCCGATGAAACCGCTGATGGCAAGGACTCGTAATGGCTACGTAGTTGAGCGTCTACCTCTACCCGGCTGCGCTCGAAACCTCATCTTGATGTGAGGTTACCGTTGTGCTTGTTCGGTTTTTGAGAACATACCGTGAACGCCAAAAAGTTGGAAGCTGGGAAATGGAACGGTCGGTCCGGAATCATTTCTTCCAACTTTGTGCTTTTCCTCGAAATGACAAACACCCGTAATGATCTTCCAACTTCGACAGTTCGTAGGCCTCCCCCGCCCCACCCTCCCTCTCGCACCTTCGAAAGGGATGTCCAGAAAGCAAGAATTGCTTCCATTCCAAACATAATTTCCCCGGGTACTCGGGTATTTGGAGGTGTCTCCAATCGGCAAGCTAGTCGGGATTGCAAAATTCTGACATGGCAAAACTGGAAGAACATTTCGTCCATGTGTTTTGGGTGCTGGACATTTGAATGTGCATCTTCCAACTTCCCGGCTTTCACCGAATAAACATAGCGCAAGTATAACTAAAGCATGCCTAGGTGCAACTTCCCACATCTCTTCCAACATCGCCATGGTGTGATTTGTCGCTCCGGGTTGAAGCAAGGCTTGCCAAGCTCGCGGCTGGGGCAGCCCAAGTCAACCAACGAGAAAATGTTATCTACGAGTGGTGACTAAGTGGTGTAAAGTTGGTATGGAGTTCAAGATGAGCAAGGATGGACTGAATTCAGGACTCACAAAGTCGGACTTTGTGGCTTGTCTGTGGCCGCTCCGGATTTGACCAACAGCATCCGAAAAGCAAAACGGTCACGGTGTCGCGCATGTTTCAAACTCGAAACTGCCCGATGGCAGGCTGTTGGGTTCGTGTTGGTCCTCTTTCAGTGAATCCGCGCATAGATTGAGCACCCTCCAGCCTGCGCGACTGCAAATTGCCCGGGGCAGCAAGCGACATGCAACGGGTTGCATGTTACGGGGTGCTTGAGTCAGGCTTAGGTCACCTGAGTCAGTTTACATCATTTTTAGAAACATGAAGGACGAAATATACACAATAATAAAAAATCAGTGTGGGCAGTGCTAAAAAGCATGAACAGAACTGGCAACTGGGGCACCTGGTGTCTACCTTTGTTTGGGGCTTTGTGAACCGGTCTGCATCGTTGCATAGCAGGAATACGAACCCAGCCATGCGAATACCAGGCAGCTATAATGCTCAAGTCTGGCGGTTTCTGTGCCATGCTTCGAGCCAATGCTGCTGCAGGATGCATCTGAAGCCACGCTCCGCCGCTTAGACACGGACCACCTGCAAACAACCTGATTGACAGAACATGCAGTTGGCAAGGACAGCAAGACCCTTTCTGGTCTCAGCTTGGTGAGCTCCACACTCCCTAAACGGTTCACCGCCTCCAAGCAGGAAAGCATCGGAGTAGAGCCTGATGAGCACATCTCCAGAGCCGCGACTACGAAGTGATACGCTAGGACGTTGACCATGCTTGGCTGTTCCTGAACCAATCGGAAGGCCTGCATTCCCGCACCAGCAGTCGCACAAGCGCTGATGACTGAGGTGAGCACGACAACGTTAGCCTCCAGTCGCTTCTCCTGAGCCTCCTGCAGCAGGAGCCGGGCATGGGGCCACATGCCTGTCCTTTGACAGGTGCTGATCGCGGAGCTAACGCTGATCACACTTGGCTCCATGTCCCGCATGCCAAGCTCACGCAGCAAGAGTTGGGCCGGCTGCCAGGCCCCGCGTCGCTCACAAGCGCCAATGGCTGCATTGTAGGATATTACATCGGACTGAAGCTCATCGTGCAACTCCTGCAGAAGTTGGCATGCTTCTTGCCACTCGCCGCCCTTCTCGCAAGCGCTGATTGCTATATTGTAGGCGACAATACCCCGCTCCACTCGACGAGCAGGGAGCTCTCTTAGCAGTTGTTTTGCCTTCGACCAGTCACGGCTCTTTGCCAGGATGCTCAAAATTGCATTATAAGTTTCAGACGTAGGCTGAACAGCCCGTTCCAAGAGCTCTTCCAGCAGTGCCAGTGCCATGTGCCAGTGGCCTCCGCGCCCGTAAGAGCTGATGGCCGCAGTATAAGCTTTAACCTCAGCAGCAAAGGCCCCTTCCTTCACATTAGCTGTCGAAGTGCTGTATACTGAGAGGAATCCTCTGTAATTATGCCAGCGTAGATCCACAAACAATGGAGGACACTGAGGACCATATGGAGCAAGACCACGAGAACAACAACCACCATGAGACTAGAAAGAACCACCAAGAGACCGCTACGAAAACTCAGGACCAGCAGGAGACTTCCAGGAAACCACTGGGAGACCTTCAGGACACTGCGGCCAAAATGCTTCGCCCAATGTACTGGCGGGATCCGACTGGCAATGCTTCCCCCCAATATGCTGATGAGATTCGGACATGTCGAATCCAAAGTGAAGCCGATCGATGCATTGAAAACACGGGCCCGAGTGGAAGTGTGTAAATGATGGGAAGAACGCAAAATATGCCACGCGGTTGGGAGCGGGCCTGATTGCATTGCGCATGCCACGCTAACGAATTCTCTTCTCGCCTAACATAGGAACCGCACTGTGCGACCACACTGGTTCGGAAAGATGCAGGGGTTAGGGTTTGTTGCTTGTGCCATCGAGATGATGACACACACAACCTGGTGATGACTTCAAGAGTTCCATGACCTCAATCGACAAAAGATGTCAGACCCTATCCGAGGCTAGGTGAAATTAAAACCCATCCAGTTCAGACACAGGCCAGACCACTAGACTTGCTCGGTAATTGCCTTGGGGTGTGGCGGTTCGGTTGGCATTTGATAATTTTAATAGCTTCTGCGTGGCCCCAGAGTACTGTAAAAGCATGCTTTCTTATCCCACCTACTGCCAAACTGAGTCAGAGAGCGTTAGCCGGCACGGCTTGCTTCCTCATCTCCTTGAAAAGTTGTTTGACCTGTGCTGCATGGCCTGCACGCTGACAGGCACTGATGGCGGCGGCATAGGCAACCGTGTTGGCTTCGAGACGCTCCTGCTCTCAGGGACCGAAACCACAGCGTGTGGAAGGCGTTTCACCAAGCATCGCGACAGACTTAACGGAGCAAAGACATCAACTGATCAACGCAAAAACCCTGCTAAACCACCCGTCCCACTTTCATCCGATGCTGCCATGCTTACCACTTGACGCCTTACGGGTTAACCGTGATCGCCGACCCAGGCAATAGCGATCCTCGTGCAGGCGAGTGAGGAGTTCCAGAGCATTTGTCCAGGCCTCGGCCTGTTCACAGGCGCTAACAGCCGAGGTAGCAGAGATCATATCCGGCTGAAGCCACTGCACTGCGACCTTGCTTTGGTACCAAGAGGTACTTGGTGTAAATATCTCACACACACAGACACAAACAGACACACGAGCACGCAAGCGCACAGAACATAAGGCTTTCGAGAAAGGAGCTTGCTGCAGCAAGAGCATCGCCTGCTTCCAGTCTCCGTCCCAAGCACAGACGCTAATGGCCGTGTTATAGGAAACCGTACTTGCTTCCAGCTTCCTTGCATCCAGATCCCTTAGAAAACGCTGAGCCCGAGCCCAGCCTCCTGCAGTTTCGTAAGCGCTCAGGACTGTGTTGTATGTAACAAGGTTCGCTCCGGCCAGCTGCCACAGCTCCCCCAAGAGCTGCTCCGCTCTTTTCCAATGATGGGCAGATGACAGGACAGTGGCAACGGCATTGAAGGTGATGACATCGGCACGGACGTGCTGGACGGGCAGTCCCTGCAGGAGGTACACAGCATCTCGCCAGTTGGCACCGCGTGCGCAAGTGCTGATAGCCGCGTTGCAAGCAATGGTTGAAGCTTGCATGTCTCGGCCAGGATGGTCGGAAAGTAAGGCCAGTGGTAGTTGCCACTTTCCATCTCCCCTACAAGCGGAGATTGTTGATGTCAAGGTTACTGCAGATGCTTGCACTTGGCAAGCCTCAATTACCTGTAGTGCGATCATAGCAACTTGCCAGTGGCCCCCTGGCTCGGTGGTGCTAATGGCTGCATTGTACGTGACGATGTTTGCTCGGACGAACAGCTGCTCCATGTCATGCTGCAACGTCAGAGCAAGCTGCCAGTCTCCCACTGCTTTGTATGCACCGATTACGGAGCTATGCGTGATCACATTCCGTCGCAGCCCTCTTTGCTCATATTCATTGAACAGGCATTGCATGCGTTTCAGCTCATTAGCTTGTGCGCAAGCAGCGATCGCGGAATTGCAAGTGACCTCGTTGGCGTGTGCACGCCTGTCTGTAAGGTCCTCCAGCAGACACAAAGACCACTGCCACTCGGCAGCTTTTGCACAAGCATTGATGGCAGAGCTGTAGGCTATGACATTGGACTGTTGCTGCTGAAACAGTAGAACGAGTGCTTTCCTCCATTGGATGATCTTGCCGCACTGGCTAATGGCGGTGGTGAGCAGCTTTGGATTGGAGGAAGGAGATTTATTGTGACATGATGCCGCACGGGAACAAGAAGAGCTGATTGACATCTCCCCCTACGGCTTTGCTTGTGGCATCCAAACTCCCACGACCCACTGCCACTCGCTTCCAGTAGGCCGAAACACCTACAGGGGCACACTTGTTTTTGACCCTCGGTAGCTGGGATTCGGAATATATATATATATATATATATATGCTAATATATATATATATATATATATGTTAAAGTTAAGTAAGTTAGTCATGGTGGTTGTAGTTAAGTTTCTCAGGAGATTGATGGATCAAACCTAGGCGGAGACGACTGTTGACGCTTGCAAAATTGGATGAATTTTATAACCTAGGTGCTTCTTTGGCATACAGTAATGCAAACAAGGATGGTGGCCAGGAACCCAACCACTGACCCCTGATCAAACTCCAAGTAAGCTCCGAAAACCGTCTGCCTCTTGAATTTGGTTCTGCCCATACCCACTCGCTCCAAAGCGCCGCTTCCGAAAATCTCCAGGCCCCAACGGCTGCATATGGCCCGGGGCGGCGAGCAATTCGCATGCCGCAGGACAACCTGCTACAATAAGCTTACATCTTCAAATCTTTGCCTACCGACAGCAAGAGAAACAATTCCGAACACCATGACCGCAACATGACCAACCAGTAAACGTCGTGCTTTGCTTTTGGCCCTGTTTCGACCACTCGGGCAGCACTCGTTTGCTTTACAAATGCAGCAGGGCTACACAACCACAAAAACGACGGCACGATCTCCTTCAAATAGACACGACCATTTCCGAGGATTCTGCCTTGAAAAGAGCCGAAATGGCTTACGTTCTGTCAAGGACAGCACCATCAACTGTCAGTTGAAGATGGAGCCGCTCCAATCACAGCGCCAGCACATGGAGCTTGAAAAAAAACCTGTGCGTGTCATTGCGTGTTCTCGGCACCGCGGCGATCTGCAAGAGATTGTGAAGTGACAGGTGTATCAGCTGGTGTTGTGATGTGCAGTGAATGTCGAGCGAAGAGCCATCATCGACATGATGCAACGGTGCCTCGCATCCCAAGTCACCAACCTTTTTGTCCACCCGTCCCGCTTGCAATGTTCCCATGAGGGAGCTGTGAGGGCGTGCAGCAACCCCCACGCTTTGTTTGAGCATCCCTTAGGGAGTGCTGTACGAAGGCGTTCGGTCACGCAGGGTGCGTCGACAAGCCCGTGAAATGCTGCAGGACTGGCATCCACGGATGAGGAAACTCGTTGTAAAATGTGGGCCAGTACACAGGTGGTACTGGGGCTGCCCAAGCAGCGGAAGAAGGCAAAGGCCAGTTCACAGTTGACACTGGCGCCATCCAAGCGTTGGAAGAAGGCAAAGGCCAGTACACCGTTGGCACTGGCGCCATCATCCAATCATAGGAAGAAGGGAACCACTGCCACCTGGCCAGTTCAGCGACTACTCAGCCACAACCACCGCTGGGTACCCACGGCAACGGTCTAGACAGTCGAAACAACAAGGCAGCCAAATGGGAACACACAGCACCAAGCAAAACCGACCATCATACCGCCACTAATTACTGCCGCTTCTGTGCAAGCAGCGGCCTTGCAAGAGTCTTACTGTTCACATGTCATTGCTACGCCTATGCCCTGCATTCTGCTGCTGGTTACATTCAGAAACGTCCAGAATTGAACGAAAACCTAGGAAGACCGTGGAGAAAACAGTGTGTTCCCTGTCAACTGATCGATGCCCAAGATTAGAACCTTCAGCACCTTTCGGATTGCGTGCGAATTGAATGCACCGGTTCCTGTTTGATGTCTTCTGGGCGCACTGCTGGTCGTTCAAATTGTACGCTGAAGGCAGTGTGTAGGAAACCTCGGGCAGCCAACAAATCGTCACTGCGTGCCCCTTGCAGGAGGCATTGCCCGACCCAGGTTCCAAGAATGGCAACGAATACCACAGCTAAGATGTGTGCCGACGAGATCGCCGGTGCGAAGCAATCCACCTCACATCAACCGCAGGCATAACAGGCAACTGGACGACGGTTGAAGACTACATCCGACTGTTCCCGTTGAGCTACGATTCCATATCACTACATAACGTAGGCTTGCGCCTGGGACGAGGTCGGGCACCGCGACACAGGTGGAGTTGAAGAGTCTGATTCAGCAACGTCCTGCAAGACTTGCAGCATCTCTGCATGCACGGAATCAATTGTCACATGCCCATCATATGCACAGGTCATCGATGCCACTGTAGTTCTTGGTGTTGATCCTTGCTGGTCATGAACATGCGGCTAACAGTGTCAAAAACGTCGGCCACCAATTGCGAGGCGAAGTTCGCAGCGCATCAAGCAAAAGTGCTGCACAATGGCGCAAGCTCCACGAATGCTTCGCAAATGAATCACTCCTTTGACCGTGTTCGGAATGGCATCCTTAAAGCCGGACGGTTGCAGTAAACAAGCGCAGGCCCCGAGGGGGCCTTTCTCTACAGCAAACACTCCCGTTGTCGCCCAACCAACACAGGAAAAAACAGCGACCCAATGCTCGTGAGCAAAAAAGCGATGATACTCACTGGTACACGAGTGACTCATCTTGACTCCTTCCACACCGCCCGGTTAACCCCATTAGAACCATTGCCTACTTGCATGCACACTTGCTTCAATGATAAAACTGAAGACGACCCGACATGAAGCCAAAGTTGCCCAACTCCTGGATGCTGCCAGACGCCGTTGAAATGCTGGCATGGGAGGGGGTTCGGCAACGAGAAGCTTTCGGAATCGCCGGCAGTGTCAAACCTCGACAGGGTCACGACGGTAAACCCACCACATCCACTAAGGTAGCACAGAACAAAATGCACCGCCTGGTGGACACTCATCCAAGTCAACCTCCGCATTCTCCATCTGCACGATGATCACCCCGTAATGGTCCTGCAATCAGACAATGGCATCAGAGCGCTTCAGCACGTGGCCAAGAAGCTCCTACAAACATCACATCACACTCAACTCTGCTTGCAGTGGCACTGCGAAGCTGGTCCGTGACAAAGGGGTCGCCGCCGCTGGCCACGCGTGTGCGGAGCGCATCCATTTGTTTGCTCCGCATCTCCTGCCGTGGACATCGCAAACTAGAACTGCCTGTGAGATTGTGCTGTCAACTAAAAACACCGCAATAAGCAAGTTTAGAGAGTTGGTCGATGGGTTTGCATTGTTTGGTTGCGCACCTGCCTGGGGCATGGAATAATGCCTCCGTTCCGACATGTCAGCCAGCCCATATTACTTGCTGGATTGTTTTGGACAGTTGCCGTGGAACACCGTGAATGTGGTCCGGGCTGTTGCACGGCGCCCCTCCTGTTCGTGACATACAGAAATTCGTGACATCCACCAACATTGCTATACCGGGCGTCATTTTTGTAATGCCAAGCTGTCGAAGACTCGCCAAGCACTGGTCCCTCCTTGACCGCCTTTTGATCCCTGCCGGCATTCAGGTCGTTGTCTTTCTGTGTTGCCCCTCGTGCGCAATACGCACTACGCACACTGCCGCCTGCGGACACACCAGCCGGCGCTGGACATGATGCTGCCGGCCTGCCGCAGCCATGGCCAGCGGTCCCCAGACCCGCGGGCTACCCATGCAGCACAAGCCACTCGCAGAGAGCGTCCGGAGCCAGTTGGCAACCGCTGCACCGAATCAACGTCTGATCGCAAGGCGGTCCGCATGGTGGGGCTTGTCTGGCAGCAGTGCCGAGCGAGCCAGCACTCACACTGGCCCCTGAAGCCATGCAGCTCGCACTACGGCGCCGACTACGCCTGCCTTTGCCCCTGTGCCCCAACC